TGCAGAGCTTTGCAGAGCTTGTGTGCAAAAAGTAGATTCGCCGTTGCATTTGTAAATCCGGTGCAGCCAACATTAGAGAGAAAATTGACGGTCACAAGTTGTATAGTTTTACTTTGCTGTTTGCCTCTGCCTGGCTAGGTGACTTGAGAGGAGAAGCAGAGGCAGACCAAGACAGAAGGGATCAGTTTAAACATATAGAACTTTATAAGGGAAAATGGAAAGGTTGCTCCAGGAGGACAGTATAGAACACTGCCAAATACTTACTGTTTAGAATAATAAAATATCGGTTACCAGTATGTTAACCTTTGTGAGCCCATGCATGCTACTCGTCCTGACTTTGTGCAGTTTATACCAAACGCTCTGTTGTTAACCAGAGCAAAAGCAACGACACAGAATATTGTTGAGTAACATTAGAGAAGAATTAATTTTCCTTTCTTCCTGTAAGTCCAGCTTCTCTCTTACATGGCTTTTTTGATCATTTCCTTTTCATTTCCTCCCATGTGTCTAGATTTTATTTTCCTCCATTGCCCTTCTGGAACAGTTTTTGCTCCCATGCCCAGGTCTATTTTTTTTGCTGCTTCTCCTTATTTTCCTTTTTGCATCTCAGCCGCTACTCTTATCCTCCTGTTCCTTTTATTTTATCACCTCACCTATGACCCCAGCTGCAGTTCATCTGCTAGCCTAGCATGTGTGTTCTTGTGTCTCAGCTTTCTTCCGGTTCTGAGCTCGTTCGCTGAAATGCTCTTTTGTTGGCTCTCTGCCCCCATCAGCATTCTGTGCCACTGCACCATAGTTTTAGTGGGTGCCAGTGTCAGGGTTACTACACCAGCGGCCACTCTCTCAAGCACTGAGGGAGTTTCATAGGGCTTTCCCCAGGGATTAGAATTAGGCGGGGGGGTATTTGAATTTACGCCTCTTGCCCCAAGCCCCCTCCCCAAGTCATGTGGCCCAGGGGACTAGAGGGGGTCTGGCCCTGGCAGCACAGGTTGCTCCCCTGTATTCACCGGCACTGGCGGGATGGTAGCGGAGCAACATCACTCCACTTCCTGTTGGTGGGTCCAAGGGGCGGTCCCACCCCCTCCCTTAATTGATGAAGCTGGGGGAGCAGAGCCATGTTGCTCCACTTCCCCCTGTGTCCACTGGTGAGTGCGGGATGGTCCTGACCCTTCTAGATCCCGGGCTAAGTAGAGCCTCTGGTCTCGTGCCCTTCCCACTCTCAGCTTGGGAGGAGGGTGTCACGTGCCTCCTTGGCCCACCCTCTCATGTCGCCCCTGCCACTGCAGGTGTATTTTTGGCCTTTTTCCCACTTCGGTGAGTGTGTGCTGTTCCACCCTGGGTGGCTGTCATTGGCTTGCTTTGCCTTTGCCTCGACGCCCTTGTGCAGTGCTGACGAGCAATTCAGCTCTCTCAGGCTGTTGAGACTGCTCGCCAGGTGTGTCCGTGTCACTCCCACCTCGTGTGTCCTTGAAGTGAGGTTTCAGACATGTGATAATTAACAGCTTTAGGTCAGATCCACAGCTAGCCATCCGCTGGATAATGGACAACTCGTCCATGTCCTTCAGGCTGGAAATGATCCCATGCCCAGTATCAGCTTTGTTCCTCTCCTGCTGCTGTGGTCTGCTCCTCTAGTTGTCTCTCTAGTGCTGGAATCCCGTGGGAATAAGCAGTTCCTCTCCTGTTCTCCTTTGGGAGTGCCTTCTTCTGCCCCTGCTGGGTATGCAGCACTGGAAGTACGTCAGCCAGGAGATTGCACCTGCTCTCTGCCCTTAGTACCACCGTCTGTGATGACTCCTCCCAATGACCCTCTGACTTTTCTCTCTTTGGGGAGTGATTGTCATTCGTGCTGTTTCCATTAACACTGATCTCCTCTGGTCTTTCCCATTTTGAAACCAGGACTTGATGGCTCATCCAAAGCGGAACCCTCTTCATTTACGCTGGAGGGTTGGTTCCACGTTCTCCTCCTGTGGTTGATCAGGAGCCTGCGATACATCCTCTGTAGTCACATGTCCCTTTTTCCAATCTTTGGCTTCCTGCTTTCGCCAGTCCGTCTGTCCAGAAAAAGACTGTTGTGCGTTCACAGACCAGGCTTGTGATTAGGGTGAGGAAGATGCTGGTGGTACTTATGTCAGGTCTTCATAGAATACTAGGACTGGAAGGGACCTCGAGAGGTCATCGAATCGAGTCCAGTCCCCTGCCCTCATGGCAGGACCAAATACTGTCTAGTCCATCCCTGATAGACATTTATCTAACCTACTCTGAAATATCTCCAGAGATGGAGATTCCACAACCTCCCTGGGCAATTTATTCCAGTCTTTGACCACTCTGACAGTTAGGAACTTTTTCCTAATGTCCAACCTAAACCTCCTTTGCTGCAGTTTAAGCCAATTGCTTCTTGTTCTATCCTTAGAGGCCAAGATGAACAAGCTTTCTCCCTCCTTCTCATGACACCCCTTTAGATACCTGAAAACGGCTCTCATGTCCCCCCTCAATCTTCTCTTTTCTAAACTAAACAAACCCAATTCTTTCAGCCTTCCTTCATAGGTCATGTTCTCTGGACCTTTCATCATTCTTGTTGCTCTTCTCTGGACCCTCTCCAATTTCTCCACATCTTTCTTGAAACGTGGTGCCCAGAACTCGACACAATTCTCCAACTGAGGCCTAACCATAGAGTAGAGCGGAAGCGGAAGAATGACTTCTCATGTCTTGCTCACAACACATCTCTTAATGCATCCCAGAATCATGTTTGCTTTTTTTGCAACAGCATCATACTGTTGACTCATATGTAGCTTGTGGTCCACTATAACCCCTTGATATCCCTTTCTTCCGTACTCCTTCCCAGACAGTCACTTCCCATTGTGTATGTGTGAAACTGATTGTTCCTTCCTAAGTGGAGCACTTTGCATTTGTCTTTATTAAACTTCATCCTGTTTACCTCAGACCATTTCTCCAATTTGTCCAGATCATTTTGAATTATGACCCTGTCCTCCAGAGCAGTCGCAACCCCTCCCAGCTTGGTGGTATCTGCAAACTTACTAAGCGTACTTTATATGCCAATATCTGAATCGTTGATGAAAATATTGAACAGAACCGGTCCCAAAACAGACCCCTGCGGAACCCCACTTGTTATACCTTTCCAGCAGGATTGTGAATCATTAATAACTACTCTCTAAGTACGGTTATCCAGCCAGTTATGCGCCCACCTTATAGTAGCCCCATCTAAGTTGTATTTGCCTAGTTTATTGATAAGGATATCATGCGAGACCATATCAAACGCCTTACTAAAGACTAGGTATACCACATCCACCGCTTCTCCTTTATCCTATCAAAGAAAGCTATTAGATTCGTTTGACATGATTTGTTCTTTACAAATCCATGCTGGCTGTTCCCTATCACCTTTCCACCTTCCAATTGTTTACAGATGATTTCCTTAATTACTTGCTCCATTATCTTCCCTGGCAAAGAAGTTAAACTAACTGGTCTGTAGTTTCCTGGGTTGTTCTTATTTCCCTTTTTATAAATGGGCACTATATTTGCCCATTTCCAGTCTTCTGGAATCTCTCCTGTCTCCCATGATTTTTCAAAGATGATAGCTAGAGGCTCAGATACCTCCTCTATCAGCTCCTTGAGTATTCTAGGATGCATTTCATCAGGCTCTGCATTTCACCAGACTTCTCCTGGTCTTCTCCACAAGTCCTATGAGGGTTTCTTCGGCAGACACCTTTCTTCTTCCACTATCAATGTTTCCCAAGGTGATGCTGGTAAGCAGACCAAAAAAGGAATTTTACAAGTGAGCATAAAATTGGGCGGGGG